AAAGATGAAAAGAACGATTGATAACTTTTTTGTTAAGTTAAGGCCTGATCCGTCTGAAATTCATAGCCAGTGCTCTGACACGGTGCCATCAATCTTTGAATGCTGAAAAAGCACAGTGTATCCAGGAAACACATTATATGGTGCAATAAATGCACTGCCCAAGTGTCCCCTCTCCACACTGCCTTTCATCAGCAGCAGGCAGCAAACAGGTCGTCAGAGGAGGCGACAGAGGAGGCGCAGTTTAACATTTTCTACAATATTGACAAAGCACTTTAAGCACAACTTTGTTAGTTAATAATTTAGAAATGAATATTGTCTGTATGGACTTCCCCCCAAAAGAAAGTGCACATGTAAAACTGCGGTGTTAAGCGATGCGGTTAATAAATTTGAGTACGCCTAACTTTAAAAATTTAGGCGTACCGGCACAAAAGTTAGGCGTACCGGTGCGCCCATGTCAAAAAGTTAGTCTAGAGCCCTGCTACGAGAAAGAGGACAGAGTGCTCAGTCTACTGCTTTCTGATTGGTTGAGCTCTACCTCCAGCTTCTCCACCCTTCCCTCCACTCTTCAGATAACCATATAGTGTGGTATAAGTCAGAGTGCTTGAAATTGTAAATTGGTGACTCTAAAGGGTCCAGTGAAGCCGTTATATTCACAGATCTGAGAGGTTAAAATTAGAGTTGTGGCTGTAAGTAAACAAAATTAAATAAATGGAAATACAATTTGAATTACAAGTTTGCAGCTCTCAGTATATTTGTGTAAATGTCAATCTGCACATTTCTGAATGTTCTCAGTAACTTAATTTGAAACAAGTGTGTGAAGCATTTTTACAGTGAACATTTCCTACACATCATGTTTACCTTCATACACTCAGCCTCGGTTTTGTGTGTTATCACCTGTGATCGCATTAAGACAGATAGCAGTATGCATCACAGCTTTTTTGGAGGTAGGCTGCAGGCTTTCCTCCAAGTTAGACATTACAAAAAGTGCTTGTATTTTCTGTGCTGTTTCTTCCACTGGATGAACAAACGTATGTAAATGTTTTTCCTCTTAACCAGTGTGATTGAGCTCTCCCATGTAGCTGAACCTTGCCTGGAATATCAGTTTTTATTTTTGGTCACTTCTGTCTTTTTAGTCCTGATGAGACATGACCTTGTGACCTTTGTCATCACTCAGTTAGTTTCCTGTTCTTTTCTCAGTCTGATGTTGTCCTCACTGCTCTTTCAGTTTGGTTGTGGATTTCAAATAATTGATCCTGTTGACTTCATTCTTTGTTACAGAGCCGTACATGTTCCCAGCTGAGGCCTCGGTCCTCCTGGCCTTCCTGCTTGTTGCACTTGCTGTCATTGTGGGTCTTTCAGTATATGTAAGGAGATTACTCAACAAAGGTATAGTGTGTGTGTGTGTGTGTGTGTTTTAACTCCTGTTCACACAGTTACTTCCCCATGTTTCACCAAAGCTCTTGCTCATGGGGGTCATATGATTGTTGGGATCCTTGTTTTCTTTGTATTATTGTGGGTCTACGTTACAATACAAAGCTCTTTAACACAACTGCAGTTGTGATTTGGCGCTGTATAAATAAAATTCAACCGAATTGAACTGAACATTTTAATCAAATTAAAATGTTGAGAAATCAAACCAGCTGACCAGTTTCAGTTTTATTTGTCATATGCAAGTTAGCACAGGGTCAACATTGCAATGAAATGTGTTTGATGAGCAGCAGTCACTCAGCAGCATGGTACAGTAGAAGAAAATATAATAAAATAAAATAATAAAAAAATAAATAGAAAAATAGTAAAGAGCAAAATATTAGAGAGACATGGTAAAAGAGAAAAGATGACTAAATATATATGTATCTATAAATATAAATATATGTACACTAGTGATTAAATAAGAAAATCTTGAAAAGAAATATGACGGAGGGCAGATGGGATATTGCACAGGAATGAGCAGCAGAAAATTACAGTATTGCACTTTTAAATATAAATATCAATACAATAAAGTGGAGTGACCGTGCAGATTAAACAGAGTACTTGTGAAGCTGCAGGGTAGCTTCTGAGTGCTGTGTTGTGTGTGTTTAAGTGTTGTGGTTGAGGGGTCGTATGGCTTGGTGGTAAAAACTGTTTTTGAGTCTTGTAGTCCGAGCAGACAGGCTCCTGTAACGTCTGCCAGATGGTAACAAGGAGAACAGCTGATGTGCTGGGTGGCTGTGGGCCTTGATGATGCTGTGTGCTCAGGCCAGGCCTGTGGACTGTGACCAGGCCAGGAGGACAATAGAAAAAATCTTTTTATTTGTTGTTGAGTTTTCAAGTTAATGTCCAACATCTCAGAGTCAGCCCTTCAAATGAATTATCACTGTGTCTTGGTCTTTGGTTTATTGATGAGCTGGAGGGAATTACAGCTGCCACTCCTCCTCCTTCTATTCAGTTTAACTGAATGGAAGAGAGGGAGATGTGTGACTGAGCTTAAGTTGAGTGATGAGTCTTACTGGAACCAGTCAAACATGTTTTCCCTTTAAAAAATGCTCATGCTGTGCTTTGTTTTCCCCTCAGTCCCCCAGGTGATGGCAGATTCAGGGGTGGAGACGGTCTACCTACTTTGCAAAACTACAGCTCACCTACCTCGTGATGCTAAAGTGGAGTGGAAGAAGAGTGACATGAAGGTGCACGTGTATGAGAACGGCTCTGACCAGCCTCACAAACAGCACCAGGATTACAGAGGCCGAACAAAGTTGAATAAAGACCTGCTGAAAACGGGAGACCTCAGTCTGACCCTGAAACACCCCACAGAGGGTGGAATCTACACCTGCACCGTCTACAGCAGGAAGGGAAACATCCTGCTGAAGAGAAAGGTGGAGCTGAAAGTCAGAAGTCAGTGCTGTAGATACAGGTCAAAGGTCAGAGCGATTGTTTAAATCTCCTTGCATTTATGTTGAGTGATGCCACTGTGACACCAGGGCCTTGTTCTCTGTATATGAAAGAACTTTTAGCCAGATCAAATAGATGTGAGTGATAGGAATCACTTATGCTTAGACAAAAGTGTTTGCATGAATGTGTGAATGGATGAATAAGGCATGAAGTAAGAAATTGCTTTGATAGCTGAAAACTTAGTAGAGAAGCATCAAATATTTTCCATTTACCATTACAAGCTACAGTTGCTGTCATTGTGGGTCTTTCAGTATATGTAAGGAGATTACTCAACAAAGGTATGTCGTGTCAGTGTGTGTGTGTCTGTTTTAACTGCTGTTTACACAGTTACTCTTATGGTCCTGGATCAGTGTTCCCCTTTGTTCAGTGTCAAGCCCACGTCTCTGTGTTTTATTTTCTGTTTTACTTTGACAATCCCTTGTCTTATGTCAGTGTTTTTAGTTTTGCTTCACTTTACATCACTTCCGGTATGATGGCGCCTGTGTTTGGCTTTGCTGCTGCCGGTTGCAGTTTGTCCAGCTGTTTCGTCATGCTGCTTTTCTCTGATCTTCTGTTTTCGCTTTGTATCAATGATGTACTGGCTGCCTTGGTTTATGATCGTCTGACGCTGCTAATCCATCCGATCTTCAATGATGGCACAAGATGTCTCATCCTCCTCCTCTTTTGGTATTTTCCATCCTCCGTGAGTGGCTGGATCCATGTCAGGCGTCCTCAGCAGGCCCCTCAGACCATGGAGAAGAGCAGGTATCCAGGTGAAGCTTAGGCTTTTCTGGCAGTGGGGTCTGGCTGGAAAGCGACGTCGAGCGTGCTTTGTCACCTGTGCTCAGAAAAGCTCCATGGAGGGGAATTTGTTTTCTACATCCCTGCTTGGATAAGCAGGGCCCGGCTCTCTGAGACCATGCTGCCTCAGGAGGGTTTATCCAGACTCTCCTGCTGACTGGCTTTTCACCCCTTGGTGAGTGGAATCTACGAGCTCTAAGGCTGAAACCCCGAGTATTTATATCCTTTAACTTGAACCTCTGCTAAAAATGATGCTGCTACCCCGCTGAACCTGGTGCTTTTTAATTCTCGATCTTTGACTAATAAATTGTTCTTGTTAAACGATTTTATTTCTTCTAAAAAACTGGACTACTTATTTCTGACTGAGACCTGGCAGTGGGACTTGGAATATTCGTCCCTCATTGAACTGTGCCCGGATGACTATTCCTTCATCAGCCAGCCTCGGGGATCTGGTCGTGGAGGAGGTCTCGCTGTGGCATTTTAGGGCCAGTTCTCCTGCCACTCAGTGAAAGTTTGTAATTTTCTTTCGTTTGAACTACAACTATTTAAAGTCGCAATCAAGGATCCTTTTTATTGTGCTGTGGTGTATCGTCCGCCCGGCCCAAATAGCTTGTTTTTATCGGAGTTCAGCGACTTCCTGTCCTCTACGATGAAGTTGTCCAGCCTGCTTATAGTTGGGGATTTTAACATACATGTTGATGATGACTCAGACCTCTTTGTCAGAGGTTTTATCAGCATTATGGATTCTTTTCATTTTCCCCAGCATGTGTCCGGCCCATAGCAAAAGACACACACTGGAGCTTGTTTTTACTTTGAGTTTAAATATTGATTTTATTTGTTCTGAGGACATTTTTATCTCTGATCATCAGTGTATTCTTTTTAACTTGTCTTTTCACGACCCTCTGTCTCCTGTCCGCCGGCCTGTTATTTCTTGCATATTAAATTCCTCCACAGCGGAGAATTTCTCGGATGCTTTTAATTTAAATCTATCAAAACAATGTTGATTTCTGCCTATTTTTCTCATCTGGTTGCTAAGAGCAGAGGTAATCCTAAGGTGTTATTTGACACCATCACTGATATTATTACTCCTGCTCCACCTGCTGCCCCTTTCTTCTAATGAAGACTGAAAGTTTTCTTTCTTTCTGTCCCTGCTTACATAAAACATGCTGCCATACACCCCCTTTAAAAAAAACCCAAGTTAGCCCCTTCTCTTACTAGCAGTTACAGGCCAATCTCAAAACTACCATTAATTGCTAAGATTTTAGAAAAGGTTGTGGCTAAGCATCTTACAGCAGTTTTAGTGAAACATAATATTCTTAACAAATTTCAGTCTGGCTTTCGTAGAGCACATTCTAGTGAGACAGCCCTTCTTAGAGTCTCCAGTGACATTTTGATGCAAAACGATGCAGGAAAATATTCTGTTCTCCTGATGCTGGACCTCACGTCGGCCTTTGACACTGTGGACCATCACATTCTGCTTGAAAGGCTGAAATACTGGGTCGGTGTAACTGGATCTGCCTTAGAGTGGTTCTCCTTGTATCTGTATGAACGATACTTTGCTGTGGCAGTTTCTGAATACAGATCGTCTTTCACTTCCCTCACCTATGGTGTCCCACAAGGTTCTGTGCTGGGGCCCTCATTGTTTTTAATATATCTACTTCCTCTCCAGAATATTTTGAGCCCCTTTGAGGACATTTGTTACCACTGCTACGCTGACGATATCCAGTTATATATATTTTTTTAAACCCCAAGATGTTTCTAAGCTGCAGATTTTGAATGAGTGCTTAAAATCCATTAAAGGATCGGATGGCTGACAACTTCCTCCAACTTAATGAAGGAAAGACCGAAGTCCTTGTATGTGCTCCTGACAGACATGTACCTAACATAATGAATGCTCTTTCAACATTTGTGAAATCATCTATCAGAAACCTAGGGGTAATTTTTGACCCGGCTCTCACTTTGGATGTTCACGTTAAAGGAGATTGTTATTCATGCATTCATTTCATCACGGTGGGACTACTGTAATTCACTGTTTACATGCCTAAGGCTCCCTGGAGCTTCTGCAGATTGTCCAAAATGCTGCAGCAAGGCTTCTGACCAAAACATCTACTCACATGTGACACCGTTGCTTATACAGCTGCATTGGCTCCCCATCAAATTCAGAGTCCATTTTAAGATTCTGGTACGGACTTATAGAGCTCTTCATGGACAAGCACCTGCCTACATCATTGAGCTTTTACAGCCCTATGTCCCTAGCAGGTCCCTGAGGTCATGTGATCAGGGCCTACTTGTCATTCATCAGGCATCAAGGCTGAGAACTAAGGGAGACAGAGCTTTTGCCACTGTGGTCCCCAGACTGTGGAACTCTCTCCTACTGAGCTTAAGATCTGTGGACTCAGTAGTCTCTTTTAAAAAACAACTAAAAATTGCATTTTGCTAACTTTTGTGAGTTTTTGTTTTATACTTTGTCTTCCCTGTGTGAACCACTTGTGATCTTTTTATCTAGAAAGGTGCTATATAAATACAATTTTAGTTACTTACTTACTTCACCCTGGTCTCCTCATGTTAATTTACCCCAGCTGTGTCTCCCTCCTGTTTCCCATTCCCTCATTACTCCTCTGTATATTTAAGCCGTGTGTTTACCTTTGCCCTTTGTCACATCGTCCCCTCACTATGCTGTGTTCTTCTCCTTCCGTGCTCCCTGAGTTCTTCGTCCCTAGTTTCCAGGTTTCCCAGTTCTGTTCTGTTATTAGTTTCCAGTTTCTTGTTTTGGTTTAGTTTTTGCAAGTTTATTTTTGTGAAGTTTATGCTACTGCAGTAAAGCAACTTCTTTAAGTTTATTCCTCCATTTAAGGGTCTTGTGTTTGGGTCCTACATCCTGCCTGCCACACAGCCGAACCATGACAGTTACATCCCCATCTGGGAGCTCTCCACTGCTGGAGACTGTGCAGCTCCACTACTCTTCAGATCAGCTGTCAGTGTTATGATTAGTGTTGTTCAAGTTACTAGAAAAAAGTAATTAGTTACTTATTATTGATTACCTTTACAAAAAAGTAATCCTGTTACATTATTGATTATTTATTTTAAAAAGTAATCAGTTACTTTATAACTTAGTTTTTAAAAACATGATAAACAACCTGAATACATAATAAAGCAAAAGACCTTTCAGCCTCATTGTATTTTTTATGCATGATCCATCATATAAAACTGGATCAAATTAAAAACTCTCTTAAAAATTATTTTATTAGTTTTAATCTTTTAACTTAAATGCACATTGCATTAAGCAAAAATTAAATTATATGCAACAGTCTTTGACTTGAAGAAATTTGTTTCAGGGCCCTGCATGGACAAGCACCAACATATATAAGTGAACTTTTGCATCCATACATTCCCAGCAGGTCCCTGAGGTCATGTGACCAGGGCTTGCTTGCTGTCCAGCACACGAGGCTGAAAACAAAAGGCGACAAAGCTTTTGGAACTGTGGCCCCCAGATTGTGGAACTCTCTCCCTTTGAGCCTGAGATCTGTGGACTCAGTGGTCACTTTTAAAAAACAGCTAAAAACCCATCTTTTTAAACTTGCTTTTAGTTGATTTTTATTTTTAGGTTTTAGCTTCTGTGAAGCACTTTGTGATTTTTATCTTGAAAGGTGCTATATAAATAAAGTTTTACTTTTACTTACTTAACATTTAAAACTATTTTCTTCATATTCCAGGATATAAAATAAAATAAATCTTTGTGTAAAACGCAGCAAAAAACAAATAAAGTCAAAGCTTCAGCGGCACTAAGTCCTGTCGCTCTTAAATCTATTTTCACCTGTTTAGCATCAGTGGAGTAGTCGGAGATTTGCCCGGTGCCGCAGCGGTCCTGTCATTGGAGGGATCCGGGGGTTTCTCTGTGAATTTCACATTCCCGTGCCAGCTTGCTAGGTGCTTCCTCAGATTTGAAGTTTAATTTTTCACTGTAGACAGAGGTTTTCTTCCAACACAGAGTGTACAGCAGATGCAAATGTTTTGATCACTTTTTACGGAACAAAGCTTGAAGTAATCTAATACGTCCACGCTTTTAACGCTACATGGTCGTACACTCTCCTGCACTCCATTGTAGAGCCACACTCTGTTTCTGCCATGGATGTCGCACGCACTTATGTCATTGTCGTGAAACACTCTCACAAACAAAATCATGGTTCAGTAACGCAGCATGCTTACAGGAAAGTAACAGTATACTAATTACTTTTTTGCACTAGTAATCCCTTACATTACTTGAAAAAAGTAATTGGAATACAGTAATGCGTTACTGCCATCTCTGGTCATGATACTATGTTTTCAGGGGAACGGGCATTACCAAAGTAATGAAGAAAGAGAATCAGAAATAACTTTGTTAGATACAACAAACAGTAATCAACAGGAGTCATAGAAAAGGAATCACAGGTAGACAAATTCTGGGTCGCATTTAGTAATTTTATTTATGATAGTAAACCAGTGTTTGTTCCTATTAACCTTACATATCACTTGTATCATCAAAAACAAAACACTATAAACTCACAGCAAGTGACTAGTAAATAACCATACATATAAAGCACATTATTGGACCATGTGTACACTGGTCATGGTATATGCATCATCATCACAGGATTACAGTTTAGTTTATGTTTTTTTAAAACAGGTTAAAAATGGACACCCCCGTAATCTTTGTACGTTTATTATGTCTAACTACTGATTCAGCAATTCAGGTAAGCGCACTACACTTGATGATGCAGAATAGATCCTGCAGTCGAAGCTGCAAACAAGCTCATGAGCTATGCCTCTTTATTCTAATAATTATTTTATTTAAACCAGACCTTGGAGACTCCAGTACGAAAAGTGCACATTTGAAAAGAAATTACTTTTAACCTGGCCTGGTTTTACTTTTAAAATAATCTAATGATCCTGGAGGGAGGACTTGTTTTAATCAGGATTCATGTAGATTTACTGAGATAAAAAGACTGGATTGGAGACCCGCTGTGTCCAAGGAGAGGAAACTGGTCATGATTTGGAGAAGTGTGAGCTCGAGAGTGGAAGCCTCAGGATCTGGTGTGGAGACCCACCCTCTAATGACACAAGACCTGATAAGGCTAGCAATCCTGAGTATGGCAGCTTCAGGCCTTGGATTACAGGCCAGAGTTGTGTCTTCAGCCAGTAGTCCAACCTGGAGGAAAAATTAATCTTTTGCACCCCATTGCAGTGTGAGTGTGGTGTTTCTTACTGGTCAATATTAGTCTATTATGTTCTTGTACAGAGGACATTTTGGGCTGTACGTAACATTATCATGTGTTTTTTCACATCACTCAGTTTGGCATAGAAATCAGCCTTGCAATACAGGCAGTATGCACTTGAATCATCTCCAATAAACGGCTTTAACGACCCATAAATACAGGGTTTGATTCCCACTTTTTTCTGTATTTTTGCTTGTACAGTTTAGACTGAGTCAGGATGAGCTAGCCAGCTAGATGTTTAGCTTCTGTCATAGAGAGGCACACACAGTGGACAAGGTGAGTAAGTGACTGTGTCATTAGAATGATATTTTTAGTGCATTGATTTATTTTAAACAAAATAAGGGAGGGGAGGGGTTCTTTTGTGGCAGACCACCAGGTGGCTCCACTCACAGCCAAGTTGAAGGGAAGTGCTGGGGTGGAGATTTTGGCGCTTACTGTATGTGAAGTTCTACAGAGTCAGTTAATAAAGTTGGAGTGAGACACTGAGACCTCTCCTGTCGTTATTACATACCATGGCTGATTGCGGCTAACGGTTCTCCTATTGCAACTTATGGAGAAAGGTTAGTGACTCTTAGTTTCCACGGCAAGGAATTCAAGTTTTGTTGTTGCTGCCAGCTCGATGCCTATCTTAGGCGCCGATTTTCTTTGTGCCCACGGGCTGTTAGTTGATGTTTCTCACAGATGTTTGATTGACGCTCTGTCGTTCTTTTCACTACCCTGTTTCACCTGGGCTGCCGACCCCCTCATCCGGGCCAATTTAGTGGCCTCCGCGCACATGTTTCAGCGTTTGCTGTTAGAGTTTTTGTCACTGTTAACTCCTAATTTCTCCAGCCTAGCAGCGAAACACGGAGTTGAGCATTATATCCTCACGGTCGGGCCCCCGGTGTTCGCACGCGCGCGTCGCCTTGACCCCGCAAAACTGTCCGTTGCCCGGGATGAGTTCGCGGCCATGGAGCACCTGGGCATTGTGCAGCGCTCAAACAGTGCCTGGGCCTCTCCGCTACACATGGTGCCAAAATCGGACGGTTGGTGGCGGACATGCGGAGATTTTCGGCGTTTAAATACCATTACAGAGAACAAACGTTACCTGATTCCCCACATCCAGGATTTTTCCGCCCATCTCGCTGGGACCTCGATTTTTTCCAAAATCAATTTGGTGCCCACAGCCAGTTCTACGACTCCCCGTTTCAGCTGTTCTGGAGGTTTGATTAAGCTCCGGGTTCTGAACTAGTGGATGGTTTGTTTGGGGGGGGGCATATGTGGCGACCCACTAGAGAGCTCCACTCACACCTAAGCTTGGAGGAGGGGTTCTATTGGGTTTGCTCAGTTGATGTATGGAGGTGAATAAAGTTGGAGTGGAAAACTAGAGTGCTTGTGTTGTGTGTTCCATGCTTCAATAACGCGTTAATTTTGTAATACATTTTCAGTGCCTAGTTGTATTTTCACTGAAGTTATTTTATGTCTAATTTTATGAATTCACGTTAAACACTACTTTGACACATTGTTCACAGCTAAAGAATGCTGAATAAAAATTTGGTGGTGAAAAATGGTTTTTGTGTTCATTTAAGAACAGTTAAAACAAACCGGTCAATTTTCAGGTGGAGGCTTAGCAGCACTTTCACATTAACATCTCTGAGAAATTACTTGGTTGGCTGAATTTTCAAAGTTGAAGCAGCAGTTTTTCTAATCCCCCACCTTCATGTTTCCTTCATATTTGAATCCCATTGAAGATACTTAAAGGCATCCATGTCACACAGAGCTCAAGCCTTTGAATCCAACTGTGATTGTTGATTTTCTATTGAATAGACTTTTTCAAATCCAGCTGTAGGCTTCACAAGCTCATTTTGTGCTTTGTCCTCTCAGTCCCCCAGGTGGAGGTGGCATCTGGGGTGGAGTCTGTCCATCTGCCCTGCAAAACCACACGTCACCTTCCTGAAGATGCTAAAGTGGAGTGGAAGAATAGATATGGGAAGGTCCACGTCTATGAGAACGGCTCTGACCAGCCTCACAAACAGCACCAGATTTACAAATACCGAACGGTGATGAATGAAGACCTGCTGAGAACTGGAGACCTCAGTCTGACTCTGAAATACCCCAAAGAAACAAAGACCTACACCTGCACCGTCTACAGCAGGGAAGGAAACATCCTGCTGAAGAAACAAGTGGAGCTGAAAATCAGAGGTCAGTGCTGTAGATACAGGTCAAAGGTCAGAGGTCATGTAGGAGTTTATTCTCTAAAAGCTTTTAGTTTGAATCTATTTTCAGTTCATTCAAATAAAATAAATTCTTTGATGTTTTGATCTAAAAGCCAAAAATGTCAGGCGGAGCAACTGTGTGTTTAAATGAACTAAG